CTCTCTCTCTCTCTCTCTCTCTCTCTCTCTCTCTCTCTCTCTCTCTCTCTCTCTCTCTCTCTCACACACACACACACACACACATTTGCTTTATTTTTTAACTCTGTCCATTCATTTGTCCATGCATCCATCCCCTTATCCACCCATGGGATCATTTTGCTTCTACCCTCTGTGTGATGCTGTACTGAGTACCGCAAATGTGAGCAGGGGACTAAACCATGCTAGGAGGAGGGCAGAGTGGCGTGTCTTCCTGAAGCACGAGCACAGGCAAACGGCAGCTGGCCCAGGCACGGCTTCTCCTCTGGTGTCTCTGAGGCCAACCTGGGCTCCTGGATACCTCCTCTCAAAATGAGCAAATAGCCAAACAAACCATTAATGTGGAATGTAAGAACAATCAGTACAAAACCCACAGATGCAGCCTCTGTTTCTCAGAATTCTAAAAATAACTCAGCTCTCCTGTCTTCCAATTTTCCTGTTTCTTAAATGGAGCCAATAATATTCACCTCCTCAAAGCACGTGCTTCTATGAGAAAATGTCTTGTGAGGCTCCAGTTCGTGAGTGCTGACACATTCCAAAACGTGAAGAAGCATGGGCTGTCCTTAGTCTCTCCTCCAGCGAGACAGGGAAGACAACAGCATTTCTCAAGACACCTGATTTCTCTTTTAAAATTCTAAGCATTAAATCTGAAAGTATCTTCTCCCCCGCTTAAAAAAGAATTAGATCTGTGAGTCTCTCTCTTGGGAAATCAGTAGATGAGTTAAGTTTCTTGATTATTTTCTGTCTTATGAAGTTCCCTGAAGAATTATACCTAAGTCACGCTTTCAGAATTGCAAGCCACCCTTACTTGAAAGATTTTAAAAATGAAAATTTTTAGAGAATATAAAGTATGTTTATATAATTTCTAGTTCACTAAAAAGATGCAGTTTCTGAAACTGAATGAAAATACTTAAACAAAAATGGCTATAATCCTCATTTCTGACTCTCCACAGGTAAGTGGAGTATGCATACAGCCTACATACTGCGACAACTGCAATCTAAAGGCTGTCATATGTGTAAACCTTAAAATATGCTAAATGGAACTAGTCAAATGACTCCTTAATATTTATGTGGAAGCAAATGTGATGACCATTCTTGGTTGTCAACTTGACTACATCTGGAATTAGCTAAAACCCAAGTGGCTGGGTACACCTGTGAGGGATTGTTTTTAATTAAATCATTTGGTAGGGGAAGACCTACTTTGAAACTGGATCTTTTGAGGAGAGGCGATGCACCTTTAATCTGGGCCACACCTTCTGGTGGCAACACACACAAAGGACGTGGAAGAGGGAAGTTTTCGCATTGTTGGCAAGACCATTCCTTCACTGGCATTAGAGACTACTTCTTGGGGATTCTGATATATAATGGAGACCAGATGGGACACCCAGCCTCATGGGCTGAAAAACTACAAGATTCTTGGACCTTCTGCTGGTAAACAGTCATTGTTGGACTAGCTGACCACAGCCATTCTAATAAACCCTCCCACCTCACATACAGATATTCTGTTTCTCTAGAAAACTTTGACTAAATACACTATACATGATGTGCACAGATGCCAATTAATGTCTGTTTTGCAAGATAATGATATCCTCACTGAAGTGTAAGTCTAATTAATCTTAATCAATAAAAAAAGGAGTCAGATATTGGGATAAAAACCTGGAAGATTTGAGAACTGGGGCCAACTGCTAACTGCTTCCTACCTTTCTACATCCATAAAGGGCTGAGATCCCCCCCACCCCCGCCACTCCATTTTTTTTTTTTTTTTTTGGTTTTTGAGACAGGGTTTCTCTGTGGTTTTGGAGCCTGTCCTGGCACTAGCTCTTGTAGACCAGGCTGGTCTCGAACTCACAGAGATCTGCCTGCCTCTGCCTCCCAAGTGCTGGGATTAAAGGTGTGCGCCACCACCGCCCAGCCTTCAAGCAATCTTTATCTGTCAAAACACAAGCAAAATATCACACCACACTTCACCATAAAATGTTTCTGAAACCAGTCTAGAAAATACAATGAGCTCTGTAGTTGGTGCTACAGTGTGGAGTTAGTGTCCCTCAAAGTTCGTGTGTCGGAACCACTCTAGATATATTCACTTTGACAGATGTGACCTTAGGAGACAAAGAAGTCATGAGGGCAGATTTTAAGACTGTACCTCTTTTACCTGTGAAAATGAAAGAAAGGGTGGAGCAAGAAGTTACCATCCGCCAAACAGAGGGCTGGGGATGTTGCTCTTTCGGTGTAGAATGCGTTTCCCAGCTGCAGAAAATCATGAACTGGATCCTCAGCACTGAATGAACCTGGTGCAGTGACAGATGCCGGCAATCCCAGCTTTCTGGAAGTGGAGGTAGGAAGAGCAGAAGTTCAAGCTCACCCTTGTTTGTTGCCAAAGGGTTCAGTCCCAAAGAAACACACAGAGGTCTACATTAATCATAAACTGGTTGGCCTATTCGCTCAGGATTCTTATTAACTCTTTCTTACATCTTAAAATAGCCCATAATTCTGTGGGCACATGTGGAGGCCTGGGCTGATGCTGGGACCATCCTCTCCTTCTCCTCTATGGGGAGCAGATGAGGACCCGAGTAACAGGTGAGCAAACTGACAATGCCTGCAGAAAGTGTCAACCACAGTTTCTCCTCCTGGGTGAGAACAGCTTGAGACTGCTCCCCTACATAGACCCTATCAGGGATCAGCAAACCCACTTCCTCCCTCCGCGGTGTGTAATAAAGCCGCTGAGCATCTGGGCTGCTGCAGCTTCTCCATCAGAACCCAGAGCTCCTGAATCACAGCTTTCCTCTCTTCTCCATGAGAGCCCACAGCCCACCAATCATAGCTTTCCTCTCTTCTCCAGCAGAACCCACAGCCCACCAATCACAGCTTTCCTCTAAGTGTAGCTGTTATTTTTGGCTTCCCACCACCCCAGTCAGGTCAGTTCCAATGCTGTGTAGGTTGAATGTAGCAGTCTGCCCCTTTCACTAACGCAGGATCTCTCGACCAAACCTATAGCTTCCCCGCATGGCTCGTTTTACTAGCCCCCTTACTCTGGGGAATCCCCGTCTCATTGCAAGGCTGGACTGCTGAGCTTTGCCGGGCAATTGTGTGGGTTCTGGGGGCTCAAATTCTGGTTTTCACTCTTGCCAAAACACATTTTAGGGCTGGGCGGTGGTGGTGGCACTTGCTTTTAATCCCAGTACTTGGGAGGCGAAGGCAGGCGGATCTTGGGCAGATCTCTGTGAGTTCAAGGTTAGCCTGGTCTAGGACCCGCTAGGACTGTTACACAGAGAAACTCTGTTTAAAAAACAAAACCAAAAAAAAAAAAATACAAAAACAAAAACAAACAAAAAAAGCACTTTAAGTACTGAACCATTTCTCCAGTTTAATCAGTCAACCTTTGCTGTGATCCAGAGGGGATCACAATGGTGGAGTGACATGGCTTAATTTAGATTTTACATGAAACCATTTGCCACTGTCTTAATATGTTTTAAGAGAGCAAGGGCAGAGTCTGGACGCTAGTTGAGAGGTTAATGCATTGATCAAAGTGAAAGAGATGGATATTTAGCCATCATTGGTACAAATACCTGAGAAAAGTTCAAAAGAGGAAAACTGATTTTGACTCGGGGGTCTCCTGAAAGCTGCCTATCAGGCTCAGAGGATGCTATGGAATGAAGTTGTGTATTTCATGGTGCATAAGCCAGACAGTCTGACAGACAAGATGAGAGTGGCCTCCAGTGATCCACTTCTCCACCTGGGCCACATCTTCCACAGATTTATTAGCTCCTAATAGCCCTTTCAAAACCTGAATCCGTCAACAAAATACCAATGAAGGCAGAGATCCTCATGGCCCCTTTATCTCCCCAAAGTCCCATGGGTGAAAGCTACTTATAAGGACCAAGTCTTCTGTTCTTGAGCCCTTTTGAGGGATACTTCCTATCCAGATCATAATAGGTGGTAATGGAGAGGAGGACAGGGTGCAGTGTGTGTGGGGGGGGAGATGCCCAGTTTGATTGAGAACATACAAGGTAGAATGCAACTGTTTAGTCTGCTCTCCATTGCTGTAATAAAATGCTCAAGGTTATATTGTAATGGTCTGTCATATCCCTTTAAGAGACAAGCCCCACCCACTC